CTTGAGATTTTTACACAGATGAGAACTGTGTGTGGGGCGGTGAGCAAGTGAGTGCGTGTATTTGCAACAAATATTTTATAATAGACAAGCCTCGTCTGCCACTTCTAAAAGTAGTGAAAAAAAAAACCCACTTTGAGAAAGTAAAAATAACCCAACGCCTGAGTCACTGAAGTCACTGAACTCAGCCGGAACTGGCTGCTCCAAGCTGAACTGACTGCTTCAGCTCACCCGGGGCGGCAGGGCTGGGGCCAGAAATTTGAGGGGGGCGATGAACACCTGAGCTTTTAGGGGGAAGTCCTAGTGGTTAGTTTGTGGGTGAAGTGCCTGTCGCTCTTCCTTTTATTTTAAGCTGCAGGATGAAATGGCTCCCTGAAAGCCTCTATCTTCTTTTTCTTTTAAAAGTGACTTGACAATTGATAATTTTGCCCTGGCGACGGACACCTTAGAGCTTTTATTTCTTGGAGGCCAAACATTGATGTTGTGTGAAATGGGAGCTTGGCGGAGCCTTTGTGCGGATCTCAAGCTTCCTGAAAAATTTATTTACTGTGACTGTGATCCGCAGGAGCCGATTGATGTTTATCTATAGTCGTTCGCGCCAGCAAGGAGGGGAAAAATGCATAACTGCACTTTCTTCAGAAGCCTTGCGAGGGTGTTTAAATAAGTATCTAATAGTGAACTTTCAATAGCAGACAGGCAGTTTGACGGACAGAGGACAGTGCATTAACCATAAGCAGGCTTAATCTTTCCCCCACGTTTTAGAGGAAGCTTTATAACCTTCTGGCAGAGGAATTCATGAGAACCAGGTATTTGAAGCTAAGCAAAAATTATCCTGGCCGTTCCCGTGGCGGAATCGATCTCTCCGAGAGCCGCATGAAGGAGGGGAACAGAGCCTGCGGCTGGGCCCAGTGTGAGCAGCCCTGGCCACCTCATTGTGGCGGAAGGGCAGGAGAAGTGGACGGGGACCAGGAGCGGGCAGAGGGAGGCAAAGATCGGGCTGGGAGCCTGGTTTTCCTGCCAGGTAAGTAACTTCTGCTATTACCTTAGCTTGGGGACTGGGGTCAGAGACCTGTGTCTTCCCTCTGTGCCCCAGTTGCAACAGCGCCTAGCCTTTGGCAGCATCCACCTTTTTTCTTCCAGACAAGGTCTTACTCAGTTTCCCAGGCTAAGAGCAGTGGTGCAATCCCAGCTCACTGCAGCCTCAACCCCTTAGGCTCAAGGCATCCTCCCACCTCAGCCTCCCCAGCATCTGGAACTACAGGCATGTGCCACCATGTCTGGCTAATTTTTTTGGGCTGGGGGGAGATGGAGGTCTCACTGTTTGCCCAGGCTGGTCTCCTACTCCTGGGCTCAAGTGATCTTTCCATCTCAGTCTCCCAAAGTGCTGAGATGACAGGCCTGAGCCACCGCAGCTGGTGCATCCACCTTTTAAGCAGTAGAAGTGATTTATGTGATACTGTTCAATGCACGTCTGTCTTGTTCATTGGGCCGGAAGTTTTGTGCAGCCTGGAGGCTGTCTTATTTAACCAGGGAGGCTCTCTTGATCTCTGGAAGAAGGTAGACTGGCTTGGTTACGGAATTGTCCCCTGGCCCGCTACCTGGCTGTCATCACCTTGGGAGTAATGCAGCCTTCAGTGTCTGTCTCCGCCTGTTTAGAGGGTCAGCTGCAAGCACCCAGGGACTTCACCTCCGTCTGCCTAGCACCAGATACCCCACAGCATCTCTTACACTGTTTACTGAATGACTAGCCATGTGTTTTCCTGGGGTGGGAATGGCTGTGGTTAAGAGCATGAGGGTGGCTGGACACAGTGGCTCATGCCTGTAATCCTAGAACTTTGGGAGACAGAGGCAGTCTTGAGCTCAGGGGTTCAAGGCCAGCCTGGGCAAGATGGTAAAACCCCATCTCTACAAAAAATACAATAATTAGCCAGGTGAGGTGGCGCACGCCTGTAGTCCCAGCTACTCGGGAGGCTGAGATGGGAGGATCACCTGAGCCCAGGAGGTTGAGGCTGTAGTGAGCTGTGATTTTACCACTGCACTCCAGCCTGGGCAACAGAGTGAGACCCTATATCAAAAAAAAAAAAAAAAAAAAAAGGATGAAGATTAGATACTCTTGGTATCAAATTCCTGTCTATTACCCACTGTGTGTTCTTAGGCAAGTGGCCTGCCTTCTCTGAGTCTTTATTTCCTGGTCTAATGAGGTAAGGAGGGAAATGACTTCACCATTTTAAGTCTCAGTTTCCTCATTTGTAAAGTAAGCATAGCATCCCCTCCTTGAGGGCTGCAGTGAGGGGTGGATGAGAGGGTGTGGGTGGAGGACTCACTGTGTGAGTTATAGCTGTTCCTATTAAAATTGTGTTGATCAATATTACCATTACTACCATCACTACTTTTTCTCTCCATGAAATAAGGGAAACTCACAGCCTCCATTTTGTCTGCTTCGGACATTGTCACCCCTTTCAATGTCTCAAAGCCAGAATGGAGGAACATGCTGGGTGCCATGTAGGGTCAGGAAATGCTGGGACCGGAGTGAGTCCCTGCAGATGGTGGTTGCTCTCATGCATCTGCTCCATGCAGGAGCCGTGAGCTCTCCCTGAAGCCGAGCCACCTTGTGCAAGTCTGAGCCTCCTCCAGCGAGGGCTCAGAGGCTGACAGGGTCAGTAGTGATGCTGGGACAAGAGGGAGTGCCAGGGGCTCAACCAGTGACTCGTGGATGAGTAATAGTTCCAGGATTAAGTGTGCCACTGAGCCCCCCATCAGCAGGGAGAACCAAGAGCTGCCTGGTGCTCAGAGCAGTTATCATCACCAGAGCCTGGTCCGAATTCTTGCAACAGCCCAGAGGGTACAAAATGGAACCCTCTGGTGGGGGTGAGGGGGAATCAGACCATGGAGGTCTCAAGTTCCTTACCTGCCTGGACTGAGGTTCTTTGTCTGCCTCGGGCTGTTCTATCCCCCTACCCCTCACATCCTTTCTTGCTATCCCAGAAAACAATTGGGTTTATCCAAATTATCATCCCCATGGCCACCACGGAGCAGAGTGGGAGGCCAGGCCCTGTGCTGGGTACTCCCCATGTGGAATCTCGGGAGCTTTTATCACTTATACCCATTTTCCAGAAGAGGAAACTGAGGCTCACAGAGGCAAAGTCACTTGCCTAAGGCCCCATAGCCTTCCCATTGTCCTGTCCCTCTTCTCTGATGCTTCACATCCCTGCTTCCCAGCTCAGCAGTGCCTCCAGCTTCCTCTTTCCCTCCAGAAAGCAAGGCCAGCTCAGCCACAGGGTGGGTTTGTGAGTGGAGCTGGAATTGTTCAGGAGATCTGTCTTGAAGAAGATGGTGGGCTGTAATCCCAGCACTTTGGGAGGCCGAGGTAGGTGGATCACTTGAGGTGAGGAGTTAGAGACCAACCTAGGCAGCATGGTGAAACTCCATCTCTACTAAAAATACAAAAATTAGCCGGGCATGGTAGCGGGCACCTGTAATCCCAGCTACTTGGAAGTCTGAGGCAGAGGATTGCTTGAACCCGGGAGGTGGAGGTTGCAATGAGTCAAGATCATACCACTGTACTCCAGCCTGGGCAACAAAGCAGGGCTCCATCTTAAAAAAAAAAAAGAAGTTGGGGGGCAGCTAAGATCTTGGCTTCAGAGGGTGAGTCCCTGTTGTCAAGATAAAAAGTATTAAATCCTAAAAGCAGAGCCTTGCCAACGCATCAGACAGAGCCCAGCACCCCCAAAAGTTCTGCACTGGGCATCCTTCCTCTTCCCTTCTTATGCGTCTGATGGGAGCTCTGGTCCAGATACACCCAGGAAGGTGACATGAGACCCTCAAATGTATGTGTGTCACCTAAGACCACCAGGTGTGGCCTTGGAGTGAAAATCCACGTTGTTCTGGGCTCAGATACTCAGATGCCTGTCTTGGAGTGATGAACCCCATCTTCCTGTTCAATTTTGGGGAGTGTTTTGGGAAATGACACATTGCTCACCTGCTTGTCCCCAAGCCCTCCATCTCCAGAGAGCAGCACGGGGAGTGGGGGAGGAAGCAGAGGAGCCAGGGTCTTTCTTTTTGGGTTTATTTATTAGCAACAAACTAATATGAGAGTTCAGAGCAAGGCACCAGCAGCATAGGGAGGCTAAAATGATGTTAATCGCAGCAGCAATAATTAATACATATTCATGTGCCTACCCTGGGCCAGATCTGGGGAGCTCCTAGATAACTAAAATAGGCTTCTTCTCTCAGGGGGGTCACCGAGGTGAGAAGACCACCCGTGACTACACAAGATGACATTTTCCCACAGCAGCAAGTCCTGCTCGGCAAGCGAGGCGCTCAGAGTCAGGAGCCAGGGAGGATCTGCAAAGAGACTGCAGCGAGCAGGCAGGGGATCGGGGTGGCTATTTTGTACCTGGGAGACAGCATTGGGCACCAAGAACAGCGTGGGCATTGACACAGAGAACCCGGGCTCCGGGGCATGTGAGTCATTTTGCTGGGATAGAGGTGAGCTTGGAGTGGTCGGTGGGTGTCGGATCAGACAAGGCCCTGAGGCCACTGCATGGAGTTTGGACTTTTCCCCAAGGCTCAGAGTAAGGATTTGGGGTGTTTAATTCTAAAAGCTACAGGAAGCCATTGAAGGGCATAAGCTGGGGACAGTAGTGACAGGATCCACTTACCTTTTGCAAAGAAGTCTCTGGCCACCATGGAGAGGAGGGTTGTGGGGGTAAGAACAGAGTCGGGGGCTGGGCGCAGTGGCTTACGCCTGTAATACCAGCACTTGGGAGGCCTTGGCAAGTGGATCACTTGAGGTCAGGAGTTCGAGACTAGGCTGGACAACATGGCAAAACCCCGTCTCTACTAAAAATATAAAAACTAGTGGGGTGTGGTGGCGCATGCCTGTAATCCCAGCTGCTCTGGAGGCTGAGGCAGGCAAATCACTTGAACCTGGGAGGTGGAGGTTACAGTGAGCCAAAATCATGCCACCGCACTCCAGCCTGGGTGACAGAGCGAGACTTCATCTCAAAAAAAAAAGAACTGAGTGGGAGAGACAGGGAGGAGCTGCAGTCATCGGCCTTGGCACCAGGACTTCCCGGGTGTGGGCCAGCAAGGGACCTTTCAAAGTAGATTTGTGTCTCTGGAGGGAGGCCACCGAGGCTGCTGTGAGCTGCCTTGCCGGCATTTCTCCTTTCCATCCCATATCTTGATGCTCGGGGACTGCGGAGGCCCAGCTGACAATATGGTGACATGTTAACAGTGGGGAATGGCCAGAGGGGACCTATGCCCCCAGCCCCACAGCAGCTCGGACAGGAGCAGGGAGCTGACGTCACCTGCCTCTCTCTAGCAGGGACTTACTTTGGTCTCCTGTTTCCCTTTCTCTTTGTGAGTTCGGAGGAGGAAGACAGTCAGCCACGCTAGAGGGACTTGGCCTCGGCTGGCACAAGCTGGGTATTCATTTATTCACGCAGTTAGCAGCCGCCCATGGGGCTCACGCCTGGTGCAGGGGAAAGGGGGAGCACCACAGACTGCCTTCTCCCCTCGGGGAGTCCCCAGACAGGGATGGCCAGAAGTGCAGCACATAGAACCAGCCTGAGAAGAGCTGTCCCTGAGTAGGAGCCAGGAGGCCTCTGGAGTGAGGATAGGTGCTCAATATAGCCTGGAAGGCCAAGGAAGCCTCCTGGAGGAGGCCGCCTACATCATATGCTCAGTGAAGGCAGGAACTGGGTTGCCCCGTTCAACACAGGATCCCAAATGCTCAGCAGTGTGGAAGGAAATGACTTGGAAGCTCAGACCTGAAGGGCGACTAGGTCCGGCCCCAGCAGAGGTGGAGGAAATGGCCTGGCCAAAGGCTCGGAGGTGGGCTTTGTGCAAATCAGTGTTCAGAGTGCCTGGGACCTCCAGTTGATCAGGGCGTGGCAAGAGCTGAGGCTGGAGGCCAGAGGCAGTGCTGCATTTTGGGGTCTAGGCCTCTGAGCTCATAAAAATAGCTCGCGGCTTTCTTAAGCCGTTACGTGGTTTGTCTTCTTCCTTCATGCCTTGCCAAGCCCGGAAAGCCAGGTTGGGTCACTGCTGGGAGGTATGAGGTGAGACTCGGGTTTGAAGGCAGGTCAAGTTGTGGGGAAGTGGGGGTGGCCCCCTATTTGTTGGGGGCAGACCTGCCATTTGAAAACCACCTTCCTCATGTGTAGCCCTCACATGGGAAAACAGGATTGGACCTGCAGGGATCCTGGCTGGGGTGAGACAGAGTCTCAGGGGAAGTTGGGGGCTCTCTGCCAGATTTGGGGCTCCCAGTGTCTCTGATCACCTATCGAGTTTATCGGACGCCAAAACTGGGACCCGCACGGATGGTGTAAACTCAGACCCAGGCAGCCTGGTCAGTGCCCATCATGCAGAGTGACCCTCTGTCCCCTCCATGCCCAGCAAGGCCGATGGGCAGCTAGGAGGCGAGGTACCGTCTGGCTCGATGGAGAGCCAAAGAGGTAATGCTAATGTCTTTTAAAATTAGAATGAAAATGTTTATTGCAGAGAAGAACCTGCGTCAGCTCAGAGTCCTGTGGGAAGGGAACGGCTTTATCACAGCCTTTCGCTTTTATTTTTGCACATTCGCTTTTTATTTGCCGGTGGTGCTGCTGACGGGCCCTCAGAGCAGGGCTGTGTCTGGACACTTCTGGGAGCCTCGGACGGCTCCGGAGAGGAGGCAGGAGCTGCCCAGGGTGAGTGTGAGGACCCGCGGAGGGTTGAGAGGACTTGGGGGATGTGAGAGCAGGAGCCTGTGACTGTGTGTATGTGTGTGTGTGTGTCCTTGTGTCTGTGTGTGTCCTTGTGCCCCTCTGTGTGTCCAGCCCGATGTAAGCGTGGCCTGTGTGGCTCTCCATGTGTCTTTCTCTGTGTGTGTGGTGGCTGTGAGAGCCGTCCATGCATGAGATTGAATGTGGATCTCTGCCTATCTCTGTGTGTGCACTCATGAGTTGTGTGTGGGTCTGTGTGTCTTCGGAGGTGGCCATGGGTGTGGCTGGGTGTGGGTCTTGGCCCTCTGTGTCTTTCTGTTTGTGTGGATGTGTGTATCTTAAGGAGACACATGGGTGTGTGACTGGTGGGTCTGTGTGGGCGCAGACACCCATGTGTGCAAGTCAGAGGGGTATGCGTGTGTGTGTAAGCATGAGTGTACACACACAAGTGTGTGAATTGTATGCATTTGAACATGTGAGCTTGCATGGAGGAGGGTGTCACGTGGCAGAGTGAGTTGTGTGCATGTATTTTGCATGCGTGTGCTACATATGAGAGCATGTGAACGGGGCCCACATTGCACCGGAGGGTGTGAGCAGTGCTCATGTGCTGGACACCTGTGTGAGTATGTATGTGAACACATGTTGCATGTGTTGCATGTGAGCACATGTGTGGGGCACTTCTATCTTTCTTGGGGGAGCCCCCAACAGAGCCCTCCCTAGGCAGCACAGCCTGCCACCAAGGAGGTCACTGTAGACTCCCAGCCTCTTGCCTCGGCCCCAGCTCCAGTCAGAGCCTGGAAAACCCTCCCCGGTCCCTCTGAGGGCTGTGGTCGTTTTTAACCCACCCTTTTCCAACCAAGATGGTTTTGTCAAGAATTGCCTTCCGTAGCTTGGGCTATAAAAACAATGGGTGTTTTGTTTTTGGAAGGGGTGTTGCTTTCTAAATATCAAAGGATTCTGTGATACGAATGCGCTTTTTCAAGGTGCACTCACCCCTTATGATAAGGACCCCTGGGTGACAGTGGGTCAGTCTGGCCTGGGTGAGGCTGGTGCCCCAGGATTGGTTTCTGGGATGCACCTTCCAGGAAGGCTGCTCCGAGCTGGTTGGTAAGGGACTCTGGCCACAGCCCTGGAGATTGTCAGGGTCCCCCAGATGGCCACACCACAGCAGCCCCACACCCTGCCACCTGCAGGGTGTGACCCCCTACAGCCGCTTCTCCAGGCTAGAAAACCCATGCCTTGCAGGGAACCTGGTGGCTTTCGGGCTTCTCCACAAAGCCACAGAGCCAGGGGAACCTCCTTTTGATCTCTGTCCCTGTCCGGTTCACTGTCCCTTCACTGGGATTTGTCATGTTGTGGTATCGCCCTCTGCAGATCTGGGTGGCTGGGTGGGTGAGTGGGTAGGGGGAGTCACATCTTACAAAATAGAAACCAGGTACTGTGCAGAATAAAAGATGGTTGTGCCAGTGCCAGATGCGTATCTGGAGCCTGGCTTCAAATGCCGTGTGGCCTCGGGCATGTTGCTGAGCTTCGCTGAGCTTTAGTCTTCCCACCTGTAAAATGAGAGTCATAACAGTGCCAGGCTCAGGGCTGTCTCTTACTTGTTCCCTTGGGGTGTTTCTGGAACATGGCAGACTTCCGTGGGCCAGATTGGTTCAGTGTGTCCTAGCTATGTGAGATATCAGGCAGGTCACTTTATCTGTGCCTCAGTTTCCTTACCTGCAAAATCGGGCTAAATACAGTACCGACTACCTGGGGATGTTGTGAGAGTTAAATTTCTTACTTTACATAAAAGGTTATAGTAAGTACTATAGAGCAGGAGCTATTATTGTTATTTCTGGAACGCCTGAACTCAGATTAAAACATCCCATCGGCACACAATATCCTCTTTTTTTAAAATCACACGATGTGTAACCCACTCTTTCTGCAGCCTTGCCCACTGCGTGCTGCTGTCAGGCAGCTGCTGTGTGCCAGGCATCTGGCTGGGCATGCCCAAGGCATCGTGGTATGGGTTATGGGGTGGGTGTCCTGCGTGGGTGGGCCGCGCCAAATGCTGTGCCTGTCTCTCCTCCAACGCTCTGGCGAGGCAGGCAGGGACTCAGGTTAAATCACCCTGGGCAGCAGCCAGGGGTGGGAGCCAGCCGGCAAGGAAGCCACCTGGCAGCTCTCCCTCCGAGGGCGGATCTAGCAAGCTCAGGCTTGTGGTGGCTGTGGGCACCCGAGACTGTTTTGTGCACTTGTCCAAAGCCAACTGACATCTGAGCATTGGTGGCAGACAGCTGAGAGGAGAGTGGCATGAGATTTCCCTTGAGCCTGGCACCACACTGTGCCCTGAGCCCACCCCACCTTAAACCATTAATCACGGACCTTAAATCATTAAACCTTAAATCACGGACATGTTGATGATGAAATACTCAGGCTCGCTCAGTGAGGCCCTCTGCCTGGGCCAGGCCGTGCGCTGAAACAGCTTGCATGTATGATCTCATCTAGTCTTCGTAGAAACCCCTTAAAGTAAATCCTTATTCCTATTTTATGGGGAGAAAGCTGAGGCTTGGAGACATTTTGGAGTCTTTGAAATCTGTGTAGAAGTCCTAGTTCTTACAGTTGCTGAGTGACTTCAGGGCAGCTCCTTAACCTCTCTGAGCCTCTGTTTACCCACTTGGTAGCAGGCAGCAAAGGTTCAGTGAGACAGTGTAAAGCTAAAACATTTAGCTTGGCAGTTTGCATAGTAAGTGATCCAAAAAAAAAAAAAAAAAAAAAAGGCTGTTGTTGTTATTACTACTGTTACTATTTTATCTTTTTGCAAGGTGATATTCCTTGCCAGTTTAATGGGGATACCAACAAGATTTGAAGTGGATGCCTTGGTGTCTATAGAAAGGGGTTATTTTTTTAGGAGAAAACCTTTTATTTTTATTCTTATTAGCAACAGATAAGTTTGTAAGTTTCCTGCCTAGAGGGGACACTCCTCTTACCTTGACGGTCTTATTGGATGGGGGTAAAGCTTCTTCTGTTTCATGGATTTTTGCCTGTGGACCCAGACCTCACTCATTTGGATGCTTTGAGCAAAAGGTCTGGTGTATAGTAGGTGCTCAATCAATGCTTGTTTGATGGGTGGACGAGCGGTGTACCATGCTCACTGTGGCTAACAGGTGATTGGGTTCTGGAATGACCTGGCAGTTTCCCATGAACAGGGCGCCTGATGGAAGCATCTTCCCTTTGCAGAGTTGTTCCTGGGTGCTGGGAACATCCCTTGGAGTTAGTCACTTAACTGTGAGTGTGATGGCCAGAGATAAAGGAGCTGGCAGGAAACTGAGGTGCTATCTCTCAACTCGAAGACCAGGGAATGAGTTAGAGGCAGTGAATATGACCTTGACAGACAGGTGTACATCAACTGTGAGGGAAACTTCATTCATTCATTCATTCATTCAATGAACATTTCTGTGCTCAGTGCTGGGATGCAAGGAGAGTCCCTGTTGGGGCCAAGTGAAAGAAGAGAACTGGTTGATGCATGAATCTCAAATAGACTTTTCAGGGACTTCGTCACACTTGGGGACGATTTGGGGCCACTGTCTACTATAACAGGCAGGACTCTTAAGGTTCTATCTGAGAGAAACTTATTTGGAGTCCACTTAAACAAAAGAAGATTTTTATTGGCTCATGTGACCTGAAAGGGTAAGGTGTCTCGCTTCAGGCATGACTATCCAGCTGCTCAAATGATGTTATCTCATCCTACTCAGATCCTGGCTCAGCTTTTCCCCTGTATGGGTGGGCTTTGTCCTGAGCCAGGATTCCCCCTGGTAGCTCTGTTTCACCACCTTGGCAACTCCCAGGGAAAGAAAGCAGCTCTTTCCTAGGCTTTAGCAAATGTCCCGGGATTCCTCCTGATTAGACCAACTTGGATCCGTGCATTTGCCCGAGCTGTTCTGACCGCCTGGAAGGTCTTTATTCTACCTAACCCTAACCTATTTGTGCTTTGAGTCCTGCCTAAGCGCCACGGCTACTATTGAGTGCCTCTTCTCTTTCTGTATTGTTGTCTGCATTTTCTCTCTCGGGGCACAAACATCTTTTTTATGTCTTCTAATTCAGCACGTCCTGGCTGCACCATGTTCATGTTAGGTAGACTCGGGTCCTTCATAGGCCAGAGCTTCCTTTTTCTGCCTTTCTTTCTTCCCCCCCTTACATAGTATAAAAAACAGTATCCGTGTTGAATGCATGCATGGATTTGAGGCGTTAAGGATTTAATCAAGAAGCCAAATCTCAGGATGGCTCATGGGAGGTTTGTGGGCTAACAAAGTCCGAAGAGAAGCCCAGGAATTATCTTCTGAACCCCATCATTTGCAGAGGGTTTCAAAGCCTTGGACAGTCATTCTGGCCAGGTGGGGAGGTGGGAAAAGGGGAAGAGCCTGATTCAGAAGCCAGGCTTCCCTGGTTCCAATCCCAGCTCTTCACCCTTCTGGCTGTGTGACACAGGGCAAGTTGCTTTACCTCTCTGTGGCTCTGGTTCCTCATCTATAAAATGAGATTATTCACACAATATATTGAAGGAAAGGACCTGGCACGCAATGTGGACGGCTGGCCATTATCTTTATTGCTGGGTTGTTCTTATAGCTGCCAGGCCAGAAGAGGGGTTATAAAGTCCGTTCCTGGTTACCAGAGGAGGTAACAGCAGCCCGTCGAGCTTCAGAGACACCTTGCAAGTTCATGGAACACCAAGAGTCACATTGGCCCCACCTGGTGACCTTGACTCCTTTCGGGACCACCGGGGCTCGCAGCCCACTGTGGCCCTCAGAGAATGTGCATGCTGCTTTTGAAGAAAGGACAGGGACAGGGAGGGGACCCTGTGGCTCCCATATTGGATGAATGGGGCGTGAGTCTTGGTGGTTCTACCCGAAACACTCTGTTTCCCCCAGCCAGGTTTTCCCAGCTGTGCCTTGTAACCTGTTCTCCTCTAATGAGCGGTCCTTGGCTGATCTGTCCAGGGACCC